TGGTCGAGATTAGGTAGGGGGTCGGGTCAGGGGTCGGGTGGCGGTCAGGTAGGGGGTCGGGGGTCTGGTCGAGATTAGGTAGGGGGTCGGGTCAGGGGTCGGGTGGCGGTCAGGTAGGGGGTCGGGGGTCTGGTCGAGATTAGGTAGGGGGTCGGGTCAGGGGTCGGGTGGCGGTCAGGTAGGGGGTCGGGGGTCTGGTCGAGATTAGGTAGGGGGTTGGGTCAGGGGTCGGTTAGGGGGTCGGGGGTTTGGTCGAGATTAGGTAGGGGGGTCGGGTCAAGGGTCGGGTCGGGGGTGTCGTTTGCGACGAGGTTGAAGAGGCGCGGGCGTTTATTTGTGGATTTCGTGGTGTTGGGTAGTGGTGGTGTGGGGTTAGGTTTATGGTGTTGGAGGTAGCGAGTGTGTTTTTCGTTAAAGCAACGATGATAGAGCAGTTATCTCATGTGAAGCTAGGGGAGTCATGTGGTGGAGAGATTTTGTAGTGGCGTCATGGGGAGTGTCAATGTTCAATTTCTCAAGAATAGCATGGCATGTTTGTTTTGGCACGCATACGTATTGGTTAGCAGGAAGAGTGTGTGCGTGAGTTTGTGCAGTGCAGAGTCAGATTTCGATTTGCTAATTTCGCGTGAGTAGTGCAATAACGTAGTACGTGTGTGGCAGGCATGTCACTCAATAGTCTTGCGTTTACTTTTCACAATGCTGTAGCATGATTTAGTTACTGCGTTGACAAAAACGAATGTATGAGTCTTTGAAAGACTTTCGAATCGTGATTAACGTCCGTGTTGTTGCCGTGTCGCAGGTTACTTCAGTCTGGATCTGCAGGAAGGCTGGGTGACCGTCGACGACAAGATTCCGACTAACTCGTTCGTCATCCGCGGCCTGCGTCCGGGAACGCGGTATGTGTTCCTCGCACGCACCATGAACAACCACGGCCTGAGCTTGCCCAGCCCCATCTCCGAGACCATCACAACTAAAGGTGAGCGTGTGCCGGATAGGATAATTCCGTGTGCGGAAGTAATAGCCATGCTGTGTGGAATCAGGTTGCGATTTAAAACTTACACCTTATTAAAAATTACGAAAAAACTGTTGAAGTCGGGTAGCGTTGACAGTGCTCGTTATTGTGTTCATCATTAGTGTTGTTATATGTAAGAGAGAGGCAGTGAGCAAGATATATATATATATATATATATATATATATATATATATATATATATATATCAAGAGCTAATAATACATTATATAATAATATATGCAATAATTAAATTAAAATTAATTAAATTAATAAAGATTCTTCACCGTATATTATCAATGTGCGCCTCTCACCGGAGCGTTCGCTACTCGCGCGCATTGTTGCAGGCGGACCACGGCCGACGGTGGCGCCCTACAACCCCGAGGTGGTGCGGCAGAAGCTGAGCAAGAACCACGTGAAGCTGAAACAGGTGGAGGCATTGTCGTCCACCGCCATCAAGCTGTCGTGGGAGGTAAGCCGCTCTGCATCCTCGGCTCTCTCTGTAATCTTCCTCCATACACTCCTCCCGCACACACCCCCACACAGTAATTGCTTATGAAAGGAGTGCTGTAGCTTGTCATCTTATAGGAGAAGATGCAGGGATGTCAGCCTCGTCAGGCAGGCAAAGAAGAGAATGCGTTTTTCGAAGAGATTTTTCGCGTTCCCATGATAATTCGGTGGATCTCCCCGCACGTCACTGTGACGACTTCTTGGTTAATCCCGGGAATTCCTATCTCCATGGTGATCTATCAGTCTATCCTCTGCATTCCCGCCTTCTTGGTGATTTATTGGTTTATCCCGCGCACTCTGTTTCCATGGTGATTCGTTGGTTCATCCCCCGCACTCTGTTTCCATGGTGATGCATCGGTTTATCCCCAGCACTCCTGTCTCCGTGGTGGTCGATCGGTTTATGCTCTGTACTCCTGTCTCCATAGTGATTCATTGGTTTATCCCCCGCATTCCTGTTTCCATGGTGATACATCGGTTTATCCTCCGCACTTCCGTCTCCATGGTGATACATCGGTTTATCCTCCGCACTTCCGTCTCCATGGTGATACATCGGTTTATCCTCCGCACTTCCGTCTCTATGCTGATTCCTCGCTTGACTTCCCGTGTATCGCTGTGTGACGATACTCTCCTTCCATCTGCTTCCCCTCATCTGATACCATCGTCTCCCCTTCATGGTACACTTGTGTGTGTGCGTGCGTGCATGTGTGTTTGTTGTGTGCGTGTGCGTGTGCGTTTGCGTGTGTATTGTGTGCGTGTGCGTGCATATTGTTTGCGTGTGCGTGCATATTGTGTGCGTGTGCGTGCATATTGTGTGCGTGTGCGTGCGTATTGTGTGCGTGTGCGTGCGTATTGTGTGCGTGTTCTTCTGCTTCTCTTCAACAACCCTCCCCTTCTTGCAGGTGACTGGCAACAAGGAGTACCTGCAGGGCTTCTACATCCGCTACCGGCGCGGCAGCGGCGACTACGAGACGGAGAACCTGCTCGACCCCGACGCGACCTTCTACACGCTCGAGGGCCTCGGCCAGTACGTGCAGTACGACTGCCAGGTGCTGCCATTCTACGACGCCGTCGAGGGCCGCGTCAGCAACACCGTCACGCAGCGCACCCTGGAGGACGGTAAGTGGACGAGCGCGGTGCGCATGCTCCGGGGGGGGGGGACGAGCTGGCAGCGGACGAACGCGCGTGGGGGGATTTATTAGAGGGGGCGATGGCGGTTGAGCCAGCAGCAGTGGTGGTGGCAGTGGGGTGTACTGTGTAGGTGCGATCTCGTATGATGGTGGGAGCACAGGCACTTGAAGCGTTTCAATAAAATATAATGCTAACTTAACAATACGAAATCTATTTACTACCAAATTCGTAATGTTTTTATACTCTCTTTCACCTATTATTGCCAACAGTTTCCTGTAAATTCCGTCCAAATCCTATGTGCAACAAACACTGACTGCCGCCATTCCTCACGCGGCTGCAGTGTGCACACTGACACTTATATATATAGTACACTATAGTAGAAACATAGTATAGATAGAAACAGAGTATAGAAACATTAAGAATTTGGTAGTAAATAGATTTCGTATTTAGTTAGCATTATATTTTATTGAAACGCTTCAAGTGCCTGTGGGTGGGGGGAGGGTTTCTGTTAGGTTGCTTCTTCATTTTATTGTTTTAATCGTGCAGAGTGGAGGCACCCACCGTGAAGACAGTGGCTCACGTTTGAATTGTCCGACCACTTGCTATCACTCGCCTGATCCCTGGGTTGGACTCACCTGACCCCGGGTTGTGACCCGCCTGACCCCTGGTATGCGACCCAACTGACTTTGGGTTGAGACCTACCTGAGCCCTGGTTGAGACCCACCTGAACCCTCGTTGAGATCCGCCTGACCCCTGGCCAAATTATAATAACTAAGAAGCTGGTTTTTCACCATTGTTGTTGACAAAAATTTTCATGCTTCTCTGCACATTTGATTGTGGGTCACGTTGTTTATTACTACTACAACGTTGACACCACAGCCAGAGAGTAGTGACTTGCTTATGAAATTGGGGTTTGGTTTGTTACGCACGCTGTCGCCCGATCTTGCGCGTGCGTTCGTGCGTGCGTGCGTGTGTGCGTTCGCGCGTGTGTGCGTGCGTGCGTGGGTGCGTGTGTGCGTTCGCGCGTGTGTGCGTGCGCGCGTGCGTGCGTGTGTGCGTGCGTGCCTCTGGTGGCCACGCGTATTTGCATCCGCGAAGCACTTGCTGCTAATCAATAGGAATAAAGCACACGGCTGATCAAAGCCAAAACGCATTACGCCGACGCAGAATCACGACGACGAGTCTAATTGTTTGTGGATCTGTGCGGCGGCGAAAGCGAGGCAGGAAGAGAGATAAAGCGAGAGGAGATAAAGAGAGAGAGAGAGAGAGAGAAGCAGTTGGAAGGAGAGGGAAAGATAGCTAGAGAGGGAGAGATCGAGATAGGAGAGCGAAAGATAGCTAGAGAGGGAGATTTCGAGATAGGAGAGGGAAAGATAGCTAGAGAGGGAGAGATCGAGATAGGAGAGGGAAAGATAGAGAGAGATAGCAATAGAGGGAGAGATAGGGAGAGAAGGGGAGGAAAAGAGATATAAAGAAACGAGATAGACAGAAGGAAAGAGAGAGAGAGAAATCTAGAGAAAATGTCTGAGAAATAGAGAGAGAGCTCGTCGCAAGGAAAAAGTGTTCGCGTTCAACGTATGCTGCGACACACACACACGCACACGCACACATACACGCACGCACGCACACACACACGCACATACACACACACACACACACACACACGACACACCACACACACACACACACACACACATTGCACACACACACACACACACGACACACACACACCCACACACACACACACACACACACACACACACACGCACACACAGACACACACACACACACCACACACACACACACACACTACACACACACACACACAGCCCCCTGCGCGCACTTTGTTACATGACGCTTTTCGGCGGCAGCACACCTCGGGTCTGATTATAAGCCATGTTCGCACGCCGCGTACACAACCTCCATACACTCATGATGAATCCCGCTGCCACACCGCGCCGTGCCCTATTACTGCGAATTTAACGCGGCACCTAAAACCTGTGAAACCTTCGCTAATCAATAGACAACCTCCGGCGGGGAGTGTTTGCGCCCCACGGTAGACAGATAATAGCGGCTGCACACTCTAAGGTGCCACCTGATAATTATAATCATCAGTGGTGCACAGGTCAGGCTGTGCGCGTGCGTGTGTGGCGGCTAGACTCGAGGTGGTTCTTTATGCCTGGGTTCTTTCTGGTGGTTCTGCACTCGCATGGGCTCGTTGTTTGGTCTGGGGTGTAGCTTCTGGGTAAGCTGGGAGTAGAAATGGGTTACCACTGTCTGTCGTGTATAGATAACTTTATTAGGGTTGTGACTTTCTGCCATAGGGAGACATCTAGTGTAGGGTTTACCACTGTCTGTCATGTGCAGGTAAATAGAGGTGGTTTACCATTACCATTAGGAGGTAAATATTGGTAAACCACTGCTTTCTGCCTCAGAACTACGGTTTAGGGTCCTGAAGGTGACTAAAGATTGTCGAGGTGGTGGTGCAAAGTATCAGTTATGCCAGATGGAGGCTGCCAGAGACTAATCATCCATGTTTTTTTCACTCCTTCAGTGCCTTCAGCGCCACCTGGTAACATCCGACCGGTCGTGACCAGCCTGACCAGCATGACAGTGTACTGGGACCCGCCACCAGCAGACAGTAGGAATGGCATCATACGCAGCTACAAGGCAAGTACACCCACACACACACGCTTCCTCAGATACGTAAAGACACGCATCCTTGCACCGATCATGCAGCCGCCTCTTCTTGAATGTCAATCGGTTAATTGAAGTCAATCGTTAGCGTCGACAGACTGTACGATCGGCTCTTTCGGGCTATAGTAGTTGATTACCTACTGGGAGGTGAATGAGCGGTGCGTTAGGATGGTGGTCACGTCTTCGAAAGTGTCCGTCGGAAGGTGGTGAATGTGATTAATGATCGATTGTCGCCGTATCGCAAGTCGTGTCTGCTCACAACAGACTGTGCAATGGAGGGAGATACATGTTCGTGTGTGTTCGCACATGTTCACATTTGTTATCACTGTTCATGTGCGTTCATGCATGTTCACATTTCTTATCGCTGTTCATGTGCGTTCATGCATGTTCACATTTCTTATCCCTGAGCATGTGTGTTCGTACGTGCCACTGCGTATTTACGTGGTTCATTCAAGTGTATGCGCCCATGTATATATATATATATATATATATATACACGCTCATGCATATCCACGTTATGTAGTACGCACTTTCGTGTACTTATTTACGGTCACGCGTGTGTCTTGCGCGCTTTTCACGCTTTTTTCGTGCATGTCACTGGCCTGATTGGTTACTCACTTGGCTTCGTGTATTTCGCGTGTGTCTCGCGCGTTTCAAATGTATTCACATGTTTGTGTTTCGCGTTTGTTTCATATATGTGTCTACGCGTGTGTATTTTACACGTGTCTTCGCGCATTCAGGTGTCTTCGTATGTGTGTGTGCGCGCTTGCGTGGATGTGTGTGTGTGTGTCTTCGTATGTGTGTGTATGTGTGTGTTTTTTACACGTGTCTTCGTGCGTTCAGGTGTACTGCCTCGGCAGCGACACGAAGTCAGACGAGAATCGCACGGTGGACGGTGGCGACACCTACCTTGCGCTGAGCAACCTGACAACGGGCATGGAGTATCGCGTGCAGATCGTCGCCGAGACGATCAAGGGCGTCGGCGTGCTCAGCGAGATAGTGCCAATCACCATCGGTAAGCCCCGCCCACCACCAGTATGCCCCGCCCGCCATTGATAAGCCCCGCCCACCACCATTAGGTGCTGCCCACCATCGATAAGCCCCGCCCACCATCGATAAGCGTGGTTGAAAGAACGTAGTTGCCTTTGGTCAGTTACGGTTCCTGTATTATTTGGCATATAGTTGTCATACTGGTATATATATTACTGTCCTCACCTGCACACACACCCACGCACGCACACGTACACACACGCATGCACACACACACGCGCACGCACACCACACACTACACACACACACACACACACACGACACACACACCACACACCCGCGCACGCAACGCTACACACACGACACACGCACACAGCACAGCCCGCGCAACGGCAGCACGTACACATCGCTAGTCGGCATGCACAGCACACACGCGGGCACACAGCACAAGCACCGCGCCGCACGCACACGTAGCCACACCCACGCATGCAGCCACCACGACGAGCGCGCCACGCACACGTGCACACACTCATGCACACACGCACACACACACACACGCGCACGCGCGCACACACGCGCACACGCACACGCACACACACATCACAACCCCCACAACTCCCACACAGACTAACATCGCCGCGTGGGTCTCTCTCTTTCCTGGACAGACGAGGCAGCGCTGGCGGCGAACGACCCGACGCTGGGCGACAAGTTCTCGGAGCTGGTCAAGGAGCCATGGTTCATCGGCGTCATCGGCGGCATTCTCGTCGTGCTGCTCGCAATCCTCACCATCTGGCTCGTCCGCCGCAGGTGCCGCCGCAGCAAGAAGCTGCTCAAGACTCATTACAACGGTGAGCTGTATGCTGCGCGATTACTGCTGCTGCAGTTGTTGTGATGGTTACTGTTATAGTTACTGCTACAGTTATTAGTGCAGTTACTGCTGCTTCTACTGTTACTAGTACAGTTATCAGTCACTGCTGCTGTTACTGCTACTAGCTGTTACTGCTGCGGTTACTGCTACTGTTACTGCTACTGTTACTGCTACTGTTACTGCTGTGGTTACTGCTACTGTTACTGCTACTGTTACTGCTGCAGTTACTGCTACTGTTACTGCTACTGTTACTGCTACTGTTACTTCTACAGTTACTGCTCACCTGAATCACCCAACATTGAAAAACAAGCTGGTTTAGAAAAGATAATAATGCTCGCGCTGGGATCATACAAAATCACATGACGTCATGAGTCAGTCAAAGTTTGGTAGACGCGTTCAGCCACTCGGAAATAGAACGTGAACGTTTTGCAAGACTCTGAGACTGAGAAGGTTAAATCCATCAGAATGATATTCGATGTAGCGATTGCAAGCTTCCCTCGTGTGGTGCCGTGATAAGCAATTGCTATTGAATATATTCAGGCTGCGGGAACCACTTAAAGATTTTACATATAGAGAGTCGATTTGGCTTGAAGTATGACCGTTCTTTTTTCGAATGTAATGCCATTATTGCATTGCGATTCCGAAAAATTTAAACGGGAACTCCATAAAATGAACCATAGTGTAACATAAAATAATGCTTGCAGCAGTAATAATGTTTGCCCTCCCATATCACTGACGGTTATTCACTAGGATGTTAGTGGCAATTGTCTGTGATACTACTAATAGTTACTTGCCACGTAACTGCCAGGCACTTGTCATGTAACTGCCAGGCACTTGACATAAACTGCCAGACACTTGCCCTATAGTTTCCAGACACTTATCTTGTAACGGTCAGAGACTTGACATAAATTGCCAGGCACTTGCCATATAGCTGCCAGGCACTTGGCATAGCTATGGTCCCCATGTTACTCACGGTTATATACTTGCCATGTTACTCACGGTTATATACTTGCCATGTTACTGACAAGTATTTGCTACATTACTGATGGCTACTTGCCATGTTACTGACAGTTACCTTGCCACGTTACTGACAATTACTTGCCATCTTGTTGACAATTACCTGCCATGTTACTGACGGTTGCTTGCCATGTATTGCAGCTGTGCCCGTGAAGACGGATGAGACGCACCGTGCCAACCTGAATGCTCGTGAGGCGCTGTGGGCCGAGCACAACCACGTCGCCCTGCTAGCCGAGCTGCAGAAGGAGAACAACCTACTCAGCAAGTTCGACATGCCACAGCACAACGATCTGAACAGGTGCGTGTATCCATTATCAACCAGCGGCCATTATCAGATTCACGGCGTCGTTCAAAGAAGTATATATATATATATATATAAACATGTATATATATAAAGATGTATGAAGATATGCTCCACGGTTCTACGTCAAATTGATAATAGTATCGTGTACAATGAAACAAAAGATTCTAAGAGACGAACCAGTTAGTTATATCGTGAAATGCGGGTTAAGCGAATTTGTTGCAAATTCTTGTCAATTTTTACAAATTGACTTCGGCGTATTATAGCCATTTTGTTTTTATCACTGGCAGAAATGGAGTAGTATGAAAAATTCCGAGCGAAATTTATTTCTGAAAGACGATTTGTGCAAAAGCTAACCGTGTAACTCGTGTATAGGCAGGTATTGGTATATACAATAAAGCCAGCTCCAGGTGCCTGTTATTCTGTGCGTGCTAACTCACTCAAATTCTTTCTCTCGTCTCATTTTTCCTGTATGGCTCTCCCAGGCTAGTAGTGTATGTATGTCAGTGTGGGGAGGAATGAGGGTAGGATGTCTGGTCGCATAGGCTAGTGACACATATGTAATTACGTGCGTTCACTGAGAAATTCTTGATGAATCACCTGATGAGTAAGCTAACATTCTGAGGAAACGCCTCGCGCTCTCGCCTCGCTGTTTGTCGTTTGTTTCTCTGTGGAATAAAACATGTTTTGCTGTATATGGCACGGATGAGGATGAGAGGCAGGTACGAATGTCTAATGTAGGAGTGGGGAGGATGCGGTTAAAGGGCAGAGACTGGTGTCGGAGTGGAAGGGATGAAGGGGGAGAGCCTAATATCGGAGTGGGGAGGATGACGATGAGGGGTAGAGACTGGTGGCGGACACCGACTACAGTCTTCATATAGCTGACCTGCGCGTGACCCCTCACCACCACCGCGTGAATCCTCCCCATCCACCCACCCACCCACCGGTACCCGTTGCCTGTCGACACTGCTGTCGTGTGACACGCTCGCTCACGTGTCGCTCACGTGTCTCTTGCAGTGCGTCCGACTACGCCGAGGTCAACAACATACACACGCCGAACCTGAAAACGTTCTACAGACAGCCGCCCGGCCTCACCCAGCCGTACGCCAGTACGAACGTACTCATCGGCAAGCCGACCAACAACATGGAGCGACCGCCTATTCCGCAGGTACGCAAACATTAGTGGCTAACGTCAAGATATAGTAATATATAGCGCCAAGATATAGCAATAATAATAAAGACATGATAGCGCTCTATACCCTTTAGCCCTTCCTTGAGGCGTGTGACGCTCACGGTACGTTAATAGGAAATTGAATGGAAATTTCGTAATTATTGATTGGTATAATAGTAAATTTGTGTGGTCGTGGTAGTATTTGTCGAGGAGACGGGCTGTTAGGGTGCGGTTGTTGAGCAGGGGTTGTTACATAGTGCGGGTGGGTGTGTAGGTAAATAGAGAATCCCTACCACACGCTGGTTGCTCGATATTCATGTGTGTAGTTTAGCTCGGTTCAGTACAGGTTAACGGCAAATAGAGCCCACTTCACGCTTCACACATACATCTACTCACGCGCGCATGCAGACACGCAAGCACACATGCCCGCACACACGCAGACATGCACACATACACGCACGCAGACAGGCAAGCACACCCGCATGCACGCACGCACGCACGCATGCAGACACGCAAGCACACATGCCCGCATATACACAACAGACATGCACACATACACGCACGCAGACAGGCAAGAACACCCGCATGTACGCACGCATGCAGACACGCACGCATGCAGACACACGTGCACGCACACACGCAAACATTCACACATACACGCACGCAGACAGGCAAGAACACCCGCATGCACGCACGCATGCAGACACGCAAGCACACGTGCACGCACACAGACATTGTCAGGTCCCACATATCGGCTGGGATCTGATTCTCAGACATGAACACACACAGACACGTAAGCACACAGACACGCAAACACACACGCACGCAAACACACACGCACGCAAGCACACACGCACGCGCACAGACACTTGTAAGTGTCAGCTGCTGACGTTTACCGCACTTATTATAGCGTTTATTAGCGTCGCTTAATGTCATTGTCCAGTGAAGTAAAGCGTTTAAGCGTTAACTACATGAGAGAGAGAGATGGTGTTAATTGTTGCTTGGGGAGATACAGAGAGGAATCCGAGAAGGGATGTAGCAACCAGAAGTGAGAGCTCTAGAGTGAGAGAGAGAGGGATAAAGAGGGAGCGAGTGAAAGAGAGGGAGAAAGAGAAAGGAAGCGAGAGAGAGAGCGCGCGCGAACACCACAGAGAGGGGGGAAGCGAGATAGAAAGAGAAAGAGAGAGGGGGCATGTGATAGAAATAAAAAGACAGGGAGAGAGAGAGAGAGAGAGTGAGAGAGAGAGAGGAGAGAGAGAGAGAGCGCACGAACACCACAGAAAGGAGGAAAGAGGGAGTGAGCGAGAGCGAGAAAGAGAGAGGGGGGGGGAAAGCGAGATAAAAAAGAAAGAGAGCGAGAGGGGGAGAAAGAGAGAGGGGGCATGCGATAGAGATAAAAAGACAGGGAGAGAGAGCGAGAGAGAGAGAGAGAGAGAGATAGGGTCACAGATACTGGGAGTCTAGATAGTAGGAAGAAGGGAGGTGCAGTGAATGGGATATTGGTGTGGATGATTTCACTTGATTAAGACGTATAACGCACGGCGACATATAATATTCACACTGCTCTCATATGATTGCAACGCCGTGCCACTCGGGAGATGCGATCGGTGTGCGGGCATTCCTAACAGCACAGCAACGAAATTTTATACGATCCCCGCATTTGATAGGCATGGGTGAACCTTTAATTAATGTGAGCGCACACAAGGTGTTATTGATTTTCGTTCCCCGGGCGTTGTGTTGTCAATAACACAATAACAGGCTACTATAGGAGGCGGGACTGGAAATATGCGTAAAACAAGCGTTGATTGTTAGGGAAAGATGCTGGGAATAGGTAGTGCAAATAAAGTATTGTAGTAGTTTAAATCCTACTGGCTTTTAGAGTCAGTTTCTCTCTCTCTCTCTCTCTCTCTCTTGCTCTTGCTCTTGCTCTCTCCCTTTCTTCCTCTCTGCCTTCCTCCCCTTTCTCTCCATCTCTCTCCCCTTCTCTCTCTCCCTCCTCTCTTCCTCTCCCTCCTCAATCTCTCCCTCTCTTGTTTATCCGTGTGCGCGTGCGTGCGTGTATATTCATGCGTGCATAGATGCATGTATGTATTATCACTACTATCATATAATATTATTATAGTTTATAGTATATTTAGTTATCGTTATATAGTTATTAGTATATTATAGTTTTCCCCATTACTATGACTCCATGACATGCCCTTACTGCGTACCCAGCAAACGCAGTAAGCACTGCATATATACATCCTAGTAACCTGTGTACGCGCTATGTAAGAAGATGTATCATCTCCCGAGTCTTCCCTGCACGTATTTTAACGAGCCGTCTCCCCTTCTGTTTTAGCTGCCGGAGAGCCAGCGCGGTTTCGTGCCCATCGCCGCGTCTCCGCACCAGGCGAGGTCGGACCGCATGTGCTCGGGCTCCGACGACAGCTGTGTGAAGCCGGAGGGCGTCAGCAGCGACACGAACACCGACAACAGTCGGCCGAACACAGGTTCGTCCCAGCTACGGTATATGCATGCCGCCGACGACTGCGTAGACGGTAGGTGTGGTGGCGGGGCAGCACGCTCTCTCGCTCTCTCGCGCTCGTTTAGTTTGCTCTACTGTGTCGCTCGCTTGTGAACTCTCCCCATCTCTATAATTTTCCCTCTATCCCTCGCTCTCTCTTTATCTCTCTCTCTCTCTCTCTCTCCCTCTCTCTATCTCTCTCGCTCGCTTTCCCTGTCTTTTTTTTTATCTCTATCACACGCTCTCTATTGCTTTCTCTCCCTCTCTCACCCTCCCCCTCCCCCTCTCTCTCTCTTTCTCTTTCTCTCTCGCTTTCTCTCTGTCCCTCTCTGTCCCTCTCTGTAATTCTTTTTTTCCTTCTCAGATATGCTTTCTCTCAATTTCTCCACTGCCTATCTCTTGCTTACAACTCTGATGCTATCAAATTTTCTGTCCAAACGCATGTATTATAGAATAGCCTGCGATGTATTCTCGGCATAATTAAATTTCTAGGATCCGATCCTAAAATCATTCTCGTATCATAGCATATGTTCATAACTTCTGCGGATATACTAGATGCATGGTTGAGCTATGCTTCGTAGTGGGCTGCAAGATCAAAGCAGCGCCGTTGATAGACTGTGCTCTGCTATTGTTACTCTATAGCGAGAGCATCAGTACGGTGTACATTTTACGTGCCGACACTAAACGCTAACTAAACTAAACTAACTAAACTAAACACTAAACACATCTTACGTGCCGACACTAATCTTACGCACATCTTAAGCGAGGTAGTATGGCACTGGGACTACGTGTACACAGTGTTGTTTCCTCTCAGCACAATCACCCTCACCATAATTCGTATTGATAAAATTAGCAATCCCTCTCAACGTCTCCATGTCAAAGTCAGTTAAGCTGCTTCATCTGCAATCTGAGACCTACGCTGCTAGTAGCTGCGTCTTGTTGAGGTGATAGAGGTGACTGTGCACTAATGTGCTTTCCTCCTTGTCTTACTTCAGACATGGTTCACGACCCGCACGTCTACTCGGAACACGAGCGCATGATGAGCCCGCACTACAGCGCCGGCGGCGGCGCGGGCGCGTACGACGATGGCGGCGCCCTCGCGTGCCGCATGCGGCCAGCAAGCCGCAGTTCCGCGCGCCGCCGCAGCCCGGCCAGACGCGCCCGACGTGCTGACTTCGCCGACATGCTTCCCCGCCCCCCGGAGCACCCGCCCCCCCGACGGACATCGACTCTCCCCAGACACCCCGCCCCGCATGCACAGCCCGACGCGCGCGGCGGTCGCGGCGGCGTCGCGGGGAGCCAGGGCTCCAGCGAATACAGTGAGTATGCAGGTCGGAAGCAGGGGTGTGCAGTCGACGCGACGCGGCACGCGAGGCAGTCTGATTGTGATAGTAATGATTACTTACACTTGTATGCACACGCACACGCAGCGCATGCATACACGCAGTCACACAACGCTCGCTTGTACTTACGCTCGCATTCACATACGCACGCACGCACATGTGCACTCACACGCACACACACTCCAAGATGCTGAGTGTTTTTAACTTGTATTGTTGACACGCCTGCACAAAGAACCCACGAAGCCCCGTACACCACGATTCCTCCTCCACCTC